TGTCACTTACAGAACATGGATCGTCATAATGTTCTCATGTCTGATTTGAAATCTTTTCTTATTTTATTCCACTTATTGTTGAAATTAAAAACCTTCTTTCTGCCTATATTTATAATATTTTGAGATTAATGTCATTAGCTGAAGAATAACGGCAACAATATATATTAGAGATAGTTTCATTTTTGGTCTTTAAATTTTAAAAAAAAATTATTTTAGTTTGTCATCTATCACGTGAAGTGTTAATTAACGTCAGACGATTCTATAAATAAAATGATCAAAATAAAATAATTTTAAATAATTAAAAATCTAATTAAAATTTTTTAAAATTTAAAGATTAAAATAAAATTTAAATCAAAATTTAAGAACTACAAATCTATTAATCATATATATTATTAATGTTAATTAAATAACGGTGATAAGATTCGTAGCTAAAAAAAATTAAAGATATCAAAATTTAAAAATAATTGTATAAAATAATTAAATTAGATTTTAAATTTAGATGACATATAATTAATTTATTGTTTACTGAGGAGAAAGCGAAGATTAACACTAAAAAAGCCAAAGTTGCACGCAATGAAATTAGATTATAACATACAATCACTAGCTTGCAAGAAATTAACGTTTATCATTTGTCTTGTAATTCTGTCAACTTGTCCAATGAAACAAATGGCTTAATCCTGTTTCTATGGATGGACTGCGCCCTTAGGTAATATTGATGGTAGTGGAATTACTTTTTTATTTTTTTACCTTTTTCAACCCTCCTCTATTTCTTTATTATTTATAATTAATTACATATATATATATATAAACATATATTTATTTACTTATTTAGTAATTAATCTTTATAATTTCGAACTATATAAAAAAAGTAATATACTGTGGTTAAATATTCCTTTCTTAAATCAGTGGTGTATTTTATTACTCTCTCTCTCTCTCTGTCTCTCTTTTTTTATCTTTTTTTATATCCCAAAATTATATATTTTTTAATATTTAAAACTCTTATTTTTTATATTTTAAATTTATTTTTTATGATTTTCTTTAGTTTTTGACGTTAAAAGTTATGAAATTTTGATTTTATAAAAAATTTTGATTTTAATATAAATTATATTAAAATCAATTTTTTTTTAAAATTTCATGAAAATTAATACCATTCAAATAATTTGAAATGGAGGAAGTAGATAATAGAAATTATTTATATATAATTATATAAAGCTATATTTGGATAAACATTGGTAAAAAAAATGAAAAGAAAGTAAAGTAAAAGAAGGAAAAGTATTTTAAAGAAAAGAAAATGATATATATATATATATATCTTTTATTTAAATAACTAAAATTAATAATAAAAAAAAGAAAAACAAAGGAATCTTAACAACTATTGATTGGTTAAATAATGAAAAGTGAAGAAAATGATTTATTATATATATTTTTTCAATTATAACCTTTGATAATCTTTATTTTTACTATAACATTTACATGTTTGTATTAATGTATTCTATGTTTTCAATTTTTTTTTATTTATTCATAAAAATAGTCATCAATCAAATTTATGAAATTCATAAAAATAAAAGAAAAAATTTAAAACAATAAATTTATTAGTAAATAATATTTTATATTTTTAATCTAATTTTGAAGTTTAAAATTATACATTATATAATTTAAAATAATTAATAAAGATATTATAATCATTTTATATTTTAAAATTTTTATTCTTTTCTTTTCTTTTTTTTTCAATTTGGGGTAATTAAAAAGTGAAAAAGTTAAAGAAAACCAATAAAAACTAAGCATACTTTTTTTATTTTTATTTATGTCATATACAAACAAAAAATAAAATTTTTTATTTTCTTTTGTTTCTTTCTTTTTTTTACCTCAATTCAAATAAGAAAAAAAAAAAAATATATATATATATATATATAAACAGAAAAAGAAAGAAAGAGGAACTGTTTCTAGTCATAATAAGAGGATAGGCCTTCATGATTAATGTTACTGCATGAAATGCAGCAAAGCAATTATGTTACACCTAATTGTCTTTGTTGACCAGAAACATTGAGAAGCCAACTCCAATTCCAATCTCAACTTTTCATTACTTTCTAGTTCAAAGCTTCCCCTTTGAAATTCAGCCACCCATTTTTAACGTATGACAAATTACCTTTCATACTGTAAAGTAACCAAAATAATTATATAAATAAGATTTTTAATATGTACATATTTTGTTCAAATTTCCCATTGTCTTCTTCTGGCTGAGAAAAAGGAAAATTAATGATTAACATCCATCATTGATTTCTAGTTTCACCAACCAATTTGTTCTTTCCATGGCCAGATTCATCAGAACCTAAGTTATAAGAATTATAATACAATATATTTAAAAAGCAATAACATTAAAGCAAAAGAAGATTGATGATTACAATTTTACAAGGCAGGCCATGAGCAACGAAGGAACGGATGAGGGTGAGAAAAAAAAATGAAAAAATAAAAAATTAATTTAAAATTATAGTGTTTGATTTTGTTCAAATTAAATTTAAATACTAAATATATATATTAAGTTTGGAGATAAAAATTTTAAAAAATTAAACTAAATCAAATTATGCATATTTTTAATTTTTATAAAATAAAAATTTATTTAAATATATTAAAATTTTATATAAAAATAATATATATAAATAAAAAAATTAAATTTCAAAAATTAATAAACTAAATCAAACAAAATTAATAAGATTTAATTCGATTTAAATTTGAATTAAATTTTAAAAATTTATAATATTTTAAAAAAATCGAATTTGATTCAATTACAATTGTTATTACCCCTAGTAACAGTATGATAAGGCCACTGTGGTCAGCAACGCATCACTAATTCTCTACCAAACCATAGGATTCATCTCTTTTGGGGTGATAATGAAAAGGATTTATGTTCCACCAACTCCACATCTTCAAACCTTATCCAAAACCAAAACCCACCATTTTTTTTTCCCAGATTCAAAGAAATGCAGAAACGATTTGTTTGAACATAATTCCATTATTTTAATGTCCCCACACTGGAAATATCTGAGCTTTAACGTGATTTGCAAAACTCTTTTTTTCTCATCAACTTGTAGCTTCAACTTGGGCTACATGATAATAAAGTACACAAATGATATACGGAGAGACAAAGAAGATTCAAATGTTTTGCTCACAAGGCAATGGAAATATGTGCTCAGTGTTCGTAGCCAAGCTTGCAAGTTAACGATTACTATTGTTTTTGCAGGCGATTCGGGTAAGTTGTTTTGACTTTGGTTTATTCACATTTGGCCATCGGATTGATTTATCTGAGAGAAAAAAAAAAAAAAAGCACTTGCTTTATGGTTACTCTACGAAACCCAATATAATTAACCATTTAGTCATGAGATTTACATTGGTAGTTGATGTTGGAACAGAGATTTTTATACAAGGAAAAAAAAAAAAAAAAAAGACAAGAGCTAGTGTGGTTTGGCCTGCTTTGACAAAGACAATAAAAATAAACAGGATAAGCAAGCTTTAGTCTTCATTGTTTTTTAGTTTAATCTAGTTCACACCACATGAATAATCTGCTTTAAATATGTCTTTGCTTCAAAGCTTTCTAGTAAGTAAATGAAGATCAAATGTGAATCTGATTCAAATTCGGAGATTATTTTATTTTTTATAAAAAAATTTTAAATTTATTAAAGTATTATAATGATAATATCAATCGATTGAGTTTAATTTTGAATTATTTTTTATATATGATTTAAGTTAAACAATGAGAATCGAAAAATGCATATCGAGATTTAATTTGAAGCTTTCAAAATAAAATATTTTGTAATGATTAAGGTGTCTCCTTGAAGGAAAAAAAAAACACGAAAACTTTTCATACCAATACCTAATTTGCGCAAACAAACTCTTGAAAAAAAAAAACGTTTTTTTTTTCTTTCACAACTAAACAAAATCAATGGGCATTGCTAGTTAAGGAAGTATAAATTAAGCACATTAAATTTCACATTCCATGCATTCCTTTCCTGTGTACTAACAAGAAAGAATCCATAGTTTCTTAATAAAAATTAAGATTTCCAAAAATATATAAAAATAAAATTCGAAATTTAACCAATTACCTTTAAAAGAAAGTATTTATCTTATTTGTTAAACTCTTTTTTCCATTATGGAAAAGTTTTTTTTTTAAATTGATAAAAATAGTAATAAATTTTTTTTTAAAAAAAAATCCCTGTTCCTGAAACTACACAAATCCTTTCCCTTTCCAATATCCCAAGATCTTGATTTGGCATTTTTTTGTCATTTTGCTCAACCAAATGCACTAATTGTGCTGGCTTTAACTTTGGGTCCAGTTTGACCAGGGACTTCTCATATATACTAAAATTCACTATTAATTTACATCAATTATCTGAAAAATATTAAAATTTTATACATGCAAAGAATATGGATCTTTGGTAAAATAATAATAATAATAATAATACTTCATAATTGTTAAATTTTAGTCACAAATTTATTATTAAATTAAAATTCTAATTACAACAAAGTTTACCTTGAATGGCAAAAAAATTCACCCTCATTTTCTTTTATGTAATTAATATATAGCACAAGAATAGACAAAAATTATTATTTTATATTATGAAGTTTTAATTTTATAAACAATATTAAAATGTGTCAATAACTATATAATCAATCGATAAATTATTGAATTTTTAATTTCAATGATCATAATTTATATTTTTTAATAATTAATTAATTTATGATTTTTGTAAATCTATTTTAATAAAACATTTATCAAGTTTTTAAGCACCGATTAAATTTAAAAAGTCAAAATTATATTTTTTCATTATTTTTAGATTACAATTTTTTTTATATAAAAATATAGAATTATTGTATAATATTAAGTGAAAAATAATTTAGTATAGTGGAGTGAAAATGCGTGGGGTCAAACTCCGAATAAACAGTTACTTGTAATCAATCTATCCCTCTTCTTCTCCCCCTATATATATATATATATAACTTCTTCTCTTGTAAATTTGCTTTTACATCGAAACAGAGTTGAGAAAAAAAAAAAAGCAAACAAAAAACAAACGACGAACTTCACGTAAAAGTACAAAGGCAGAGGAGAAGGTGAAATTTGAAGTTGCGCTGATCTTTCATCTCTCTCTTTTGTTGTCCCAAAACCCAGAGGGATGTTACAGAGGAAAAAGCAAAGGACTTCTCGTAAAATCAGCTCTGATCTCTTCGATGGACTTCCTGAGGATCTCGTTGTTTCCATCCTTTGCAAGCTCGCTTCTTCCGCTTCTTGCCCTTCTGATTTCATCAACGTTCTCTTAACGTATGTTGAATTTTCTCCTTCTGAAGCTCTTTTTATTTTTTTTCTTTCATTTGATTGATTTTTCTTCCAAAATTTGTTTGACAGATGCAAAAGATTAAACCGTTTAGGCCTTCACCCTCTTGTCTTGTCAAAAGCTGGCCCAAAAGCTTTGGCGGTGAAAGCTCGAAACTGGTCCGATTCCGCTCACCGTTTTCTCAAACACTGCGTTAACGCCGGTAACATTGAAGCTTGCTACACTCTCGGCATGGTTCGTAGTCCGGCGCAAATTATTTATCTCATTTTTTTCTTTTTCTTTTTTTTTTGTTCGTTTTAAACAAAATTTATTTTTGAATTAACGAAACGGCCGTTACAGATCCGGTTTTACTGTTTACAAAATCGAGGAAGCGGGGCATCGTTAATCGCCAAAGCAGCAATCAAGACCCACGCGCCGGCTCTCTACTCGCTGGCGGTCATACAATTCAACGGAAGCGGTGGGTCGAAAAACGACAAGGATCTTCGGGCCGGAGTAGCTTTATGCGCACGAGCCGCTTTACTTGGCCACGTGGACGCACTCCGTGAGCTTGGCCATTGCTTGCAAGACGGTTACGGCGTGCGCCGAAACATAACAGAAGGACGCCGGTTACTGGTCCAAGCGAACGCGCGAGAACTCGCGTGGTCTTTAAACTCCTTCGTCAAACGACGACCCCAGCAACAGCACCAACGTCGTGTAAACTATCAACATTATACTTGCATGACGGGTTCGGGGTGTCCGTTGTTGAGTGATTTCGGGTGCAATGTACCCGCAACGGAGGGGCACCCGGTGAACGTGTTTTTAAAGGAATGGTTCGAGTCAGGGGTGGGTGAGTTGGGTCAGGGGTTAAGGCTTTGCTCCCATAAAGGCTGCGGGCGGCCTGAGACAAGGGCTCACGAGTTTAGGAGGTGCTCAGTTTGTGGCATGGTGAATTACTGCTCGCGTGGTTGCCAAGCGCTTGATTGGAAGTTAAGACATAAGGTGGAATGTGGACCAATGGAGCGGTGGATGCAGGAAGGCGGAAATGGGGACGGCGGCGACGGTGGGGCTGGAGTAGTGGAGGAGGTCGGGGACGCTGAAAACCTAGTTATTGAATGATAAAGGGTAAAATTGTAAATGCATACTCGTTATTATGGGGTAAATTTCTTTTTTTCCTTTTTTTTTTTAATGTTTGGGGTGTTTTTTTTTTTTTTTTTATGTACATGTGGAGAAATTTTTTATAATTTTTTTATGACAATTTTTTTATTAGAAGTTAATACAAAGAAAATTTATAATCTTGAATAAACATTATAATTTTAGATTTGATATAACAATAACATACAAAATATATATAAATAATATAATTTAAAATTTTAATAAAAATTACATTTAAATTTAATAAAATAAAAAATATATTTTATAATTAACGTATTGATATGAATTATAATATGATAAATTTTATATTTTATATGTATTTAATATAAAATAAATATGATATAAATTATTAAATTATTAAATTAAATTTAAAACAAATAATCAACTAACTAACAAATTAACATATAATTAAATAAATTTAATATAAAATTAAATCAAATTAATACACAAAAGACTTAAATTTGAAATCAAATATACAATCGGGTAAATTTTATTAATAGTATCTTTTAATTTTTTATTATTTGGTATATAGATGCACGAGCATTTATTCGCTTGACAAAAAGGAATGGTGAGCATGGTCTCTTGAGAGAATCTAGAGGTTTTAAAGCCCAGCAATGAAAAATTTTTTAGCTATATTGTTAGAAAAAAAGGTGCAACTTGGAAGAATCTGAACAATAAATTACGAAACTGTTTGTTGTGAAAGAAGGCTTGGCGGGCGCTATTAGGGTCCAGCAAAATGTGATTAGAATAGAAAAAAATTAATTTTTTTTTAAAATTAGGTTGGATAATTTGAGTTATATGAATATTTTAGTTATTATTTTAGTTTAAATGATTAAAATAGTTGATTTTTTATTTTAAAATATCTAAATAAAATAAATTAAAATATCTAACTTAATATAAAATAAGTAATTAAAAAATATATATGATATAACTATATTTAATAATATGATATAGGTATATTTAATGTAAAAAATAAAAATTAGAATCGATTAACTCAAAAAAATCGATTAAAATTGATCACTTTAATTTGATTTGATTTTTTTTAATTTTTTTGATATATTGATTGATTTAGTTTTTATATTAAATTAAATCAATTAAATCGATTATTCTATTTTTATGATTGAATTAAACAAATTGACCATTTGTCTAGACCTAAGCACTATTATAGATAATTATTTAAGTCAAATTTAATTTGATTTTTAAATAATATATAATACTATAAACTTTTAAAATTTAATTTTAATTTAAATAAATATTATTTGAATTAAATTTTATCGATTTAATTAATTATTTTTAAAATTTTATTTTTAAAAATTTTATATTATTTTAATATAAATTTTAATATATTTAATTATATTTAAATATAAAATAATTACTTTTATTTATAAAAAATTAAAATATATGATTGAAATCAAACTAAACATTACATTTCGATTTGTTTTTTCCCCCCTACCATAAGATGGCCATGGTGAAGACTATGGCAATCTAACAAAGGGCCCGAAGTGGGTTTGAAGTTAATTTGAATTTTGGGATGCAAAAAGATGGGGTATTCGAGGAAGAGTGTGAGTGAACCACCGTGGAGAATGCAGGGGGGATTTTGGTGAGGAGACCCACTAATGTATGACTTTGTTGAGTAATCAAAGGGATTGTTGACGGCAACTGTTTCCCAACGTTGACCGGTTTTTTTTTTTTTTCTTTTTGGGTGGGAAATCAACGAGACAAATTAGGTACAATGCGTAAGAAAATAAAATTTCAATAAGGTTGGAATGATAAGAAATTTGATTTTTTAAAATAAGATTTTAATTTTAAATTTTATAAATGAAAAAAAAATTAATTGATTTTTGGATACTGAAAGATTTTAATTCAAAAAAATTTCACTAATTAAAAAAAAAAAAGAATTTGATTCTATCATCTTCAATGGTGCCACGGGAGGAGGGAGAAAAAAAAAATGCATGGATTTAGCCCAGCCATGCAGCTATAGCTGAAGAAGAATTTTTTTTTTTTTTTGGTTTTCAAGGTTAGTGCATTGCTTGCTCCAATTTCTCTTCAAACCGATTTAAATATATTTTTTTGCGTTGTAATTATTAAATTTTTTAAAAATTAGTTATTTATAATTTTTTAATAAATTTAAACTCCCACAATAAAAAAATTGTTCTCTCTAACCCTTGAACCATATCATTGATGAAAAATATATTATTTTAAAAATTGACATCTCACTTATATATAAATATATATATTTAAAAGAATCCATTTACATTAATATAATTTTTATATTTTTTAAATATTTTATCAAAAATTTAAATTTATTATTTTAATTCAAATGTAAAAAAAAAAAAAATACTAATACAACTGAATCCATACTAATATATATATATATATATTTGAAGTTATTAATTTATTCTTAAACTCTCTATCTTATTATATATATGATTGAATAATATATTATAAATTTAGTCTCTTTTTCTGTAATTTTTAAATATTAATTTTAATAATATATTAATAGATCTAAATAATAACTGATCCGTATAAATATATTTTTATATATATTTTGAGTGGCAAGTTTTCCAAGCATGCTCAAGAATTGGTTCCAACTGCTCCCATCCAAATCAAACGCGGTTACAACAGTAGTAGTAGCAAAAGAAGTTATATATCGAACAGACCGAGTCTCTGATCTGATTTAATCAACTTTCTCTCTCTCTCTCTCTCTCTTTGATTTTCAGGTGACGACACATTCAACTTCTGGATGCATGGCCCATCTAATTCTCACAACTACATTTATAAATCGTTGCCTTTAATTTGCATTAAGTTTCAACCAATAATTTTCCACCCATCACGACCCTAACCAAGATTTCTGCATTGTTTGCCATACCAAAATTTCAAACCTCCGCTTGATTTACTCATGTATTGTCGGGGTATGATATGATCTTTCTCTTTCATATTATATATTTTTTTATATTATTATGATCATAGTAGATTTAATAATTTATATTTATATCGTATTTATTTTATATAAAAATATATATGTTGATTATTTTTTTTATCAATTAACGTGTGATTAAAATTAGTATTTGAAAATTACGAGTTTGAAAAAATTTAAGCACATAGTATCATTTTTAACTAAATATGTAATAAGGTAAATGATTTAAAGATAAATTAAAACTTTCAAAATTATTATATTATAATTTGTATCGACGTTACAAACATAAAATATATTATTAGTTTTATCAAATCCATATATTATTTTTGTAAAATTTAAGTTATATTATTTTTATATTTTTTATACTAATTTTTTATCATATCATTATATTATATATAAAATTATCAGATCTAATAACTAATCACGAGTGTCTCAAACTTTACTTTAATTTAATCCAAATTCAAAACATTATAGTTATGCATTTACAAAATACTACCATTGTTTCTTGTTTGTCTATGATTATATTTTATATTTGGGTAGTTTGATGAAAGAGTTTAACAAGCTTCATCTTATGAAACTTTTTAATTTATCTATTATATAAATTAAGTTGAGCCAAGTTCTTTTTGCTTCGGATTAGTGATGACTTAAAATTTTATTTTCCAATACGATAATTGTATCCATATTATTTATATAATGGGATAAAAAATTTGTTAAAAAGGTATAAAAAAATTCATGAATTATATAAGTAAAAAAATCATCCCAGCTTTTATTTTTTATTATAATTAATTAATCCCTCTAATATTTATTTATATATAATTAAGCTATTATTTGGATGAAAATATACTTTTGTTAATTAAGATTAAATTTCATGTAATATCAATAAAATTGATGAAAGTTTGATATGTGACATAATTAATATATATGAAAATAAAATAAAATAAAATATTTTTATTTTTAAAACTTTTTTGTGCGTCTTTTTGTCATATCCTTTAAAGATTCAATTGGTTATAATTTGATGATTGATTAATTAAATTTTGTCACGTAATAATTAGATTTCATCCATTTAAGAATTTAATCGAGTAAAAAAAAAATTAAAAAATTAATTGATTGAAATAAAATATTAAAAATTTAAATAATTATTAAATTATAATTTAAGAGCATTTTTGACCATTTACTAAAAAAAGAAGCCCAACATAAAAAGGCCCACCTGAGTTCCTCCTAGGGGTCAGCATCAGCGGCCACAGCCCATTTAGAAAAGAGAGGAGCTTCCTCCCTCCATTTTTAGGGTTCAAGAGAACCTCGGCCGAAGCGGTAACCGACCAACGATCTATCCCCCCTTTCCCCTTTGTTTTCTCTCGAACTGTGAAAGCCATTATCGGCGGAAAGAAGAAGCTGGATGTCTAAAATAGAAGAGAAACCAGAAGAATCGCCGAACGAAGCAGCGGAATATGAGGAAGAGGAAGAAGATATTTCGTGGTCATCTGACTCCGAAATCGGTGAGGCATTGGACTATTTGGATTCCAAGGACGATGACGAGTCCGTCGACGCTGCTTTCACGCTCAATTCGAGGAGGCCTAACGCCCACGGTGGGCTTCACTCGCGGCCCAACTCATCCTCTCTTCAACCTCTCTCCAACCGTAACCTGAAGTTCTCTAATCACATTCGAGCTTCCCCTTTAGAGGTATAAAATTATGTCACTATCACTTACTTTGTATTCATTTAAATTTTTTTTATTGATTTAGTGACTGAATTTTGTTGCGTAGGAATGGGAAGGGAGGTTAAACGTTGGAATGTCGAATTCTGTTACAACTGCAATTCGTGAAAGTGTTCGAGAAATGGCCATCGGTAAAGTTAAAACTACCGAAAAAGCCGATCGTGCAACAGTCGAGCAGGTTATTGCTTTCAAACTTTGATGATTGTTTTCATTCTGATTTGTTTTTATTGTTTTTGGAATATTGTGCTCATGATGATGTTGTTCGACAGGCTATTGATCCGAGAACTCGAATGGTTCTGTTTAAAATGCTGAATCGGGGCGTCTTTCATGACATCAATGGCTGCATATCAACTGGAAAAGAAGTATGTAATGTGGTGTTATTGTTTAGATGTTAATTGTGTCTACTTCAGTTTGTAAAATCATTT